TTTCCAAAGTTCTTCTATTTTTATGGTGCTGGTGATTTTCTCTATTAATTCCAGGACTGACAATGCTGTGGATCACAGAGATCTCAATTCATACAGACTTGCAGAAAGACATTTGTGTTTATCAATGACATTTTACAGTCTGCTAGTTTTTGTTAAATCTTTGAAAATGTGGAAGTAAAGAAATAGGCCTATAGTTTTTGAATATGTGTATATCTCCAGTTTTGTATAACAGTACGATTTTAGCAATTTTGGTTTTGAATGAAAAGCAAAGTTAAGAGATTTCAGTTAATGGCGTAATAATTGCATCAATAACCCTGCCCTTTGGTTGTTGCCCACACAGTGGATCTATTACTATTACATTTGTTTACAGCAGCTATGATCTACTCTTATTCCAACAATGTTTGGAATATTTATTTAGATTTTTGCTGTAGGTTTTGTTTTTGTATATCTGCAAAGAAGTCATCAAGGTCACGTCAAGCTTGAAAAGTTCAATTTATTTTGTAAATGGTTTTGTTGTAAATACAGCTCTTTGTTTTCCAAAATTGATGGCCAGTTTTCCAAAAATTTTCGGCCAGTTTTGGGCCAGCATTTACTTGTGGAATTTTTCAACCACTAGAAACTAATTATCAATAATTGTGAATGGATATTAAAAATATATGTGACCTAGGGCTGGAAACAGTTAATTGGATTAATCTTGATTAATTGATTATTGAAATAATTGTCAACTAAATTAGTCGTCGATTATTCTTTAACTGGAGTGTGGAGAGTCTAAAATGTGCCTTTAGTTGACAGAAGAACCCACCTTGAGCAGCAGTTATACGAAAATTGTAAAAAAAAAACAAATATGTTAACATTTTGCACTTAAGATAAAAAGCTTTATTTTCACTCGGTTTAATTTCGCAAAAAGTCTTCAAGGAACCTTTTGCTTTGCAATTATTATATAATGGAATAATATTAATAATAATATTTTTATTATATTAATAATAAAAAAATAATAGACAGATTAATGGATTTGCAAAATAATCGTTAGTTGCAGCCCTACTGTGACCAAATATTACAGAAACACACAGTCTTTCTTAATGGTGTTTCTTAATAGTGTTCTTATCTTTTCATATAACAGCATAATCTCAAATTGGAGATTTAGCTGTTCAGCATAATGGTTTACATTCTAACAAAGCATTTAGTATTTCCAACAAAAAACTATCAAAGACTTATTTGTTCAGTGCTGAGGATTACTGGTGAGTATGCCTGAGGGGAACCTTGTATTTGGCACAGCCCAGCTCATGCTTTAGACCAGTAACTTCTTTTTAAAAAACGTACTGGTCTAAAGTATATTCTGTCCCACACAGACAGGGTGTGGCCGGGGGAAAAAAGGTTAGAAATGGTTATTGTGGAGTCACCGCCTGACCCCTGAACCAAGTGAGTCCATCTTGCACAATGAACTAAATTGTGCTGATTAGAATCTCCTGGAGTCTTCCTGGAGCTGCTAACATAGAAAAGAAAGGGTGTCTTGCAAAAGAGGCTTATGTCTGCCCGAACTGATTGGACTGTATATCCCCGAACAACGTTCTATGATAACGAATGCCTGTACCTGTACGTAGGTGCTGTACCAGCATGTACAGTTTTTATCAAACAGAAAAGTTCAACTGCAAAAGCCACTATTGCAGCACTTACACAAATACTGCAGAAATAGAAAATGCATCCATAGTAAGATTAATGCACTACCTCACAGACCCAAAATATTCAGTTGCAAAAAATTTTACACTTTAAGTAATTGAGTATAATTCCCATCCTTAAATTTGAAGAGAAAAGGAAAGGCTTGCAAGCCTGTGTACATATTTTCCCCTGTCAAGCATTATGTTTGCAACATTAAGTTGTGCAGGCGTCAAGACAAATGCAAATGCAATTAAATAGAGTGCATTACTCACATCCCCTGTTCAGGCCTTGTCCAGACCAAAACAAGTTTGGGTATATACAACAAATTTCTTGGTCATATAGAGGGTTCAATTCAGATGATGTGGTAGTTAACCCAACTACGTTTGAAACCACCTTTAGAAAAGATAAATTTGAGGCTGACCTCTATGACCGGTCCAGTATTACATCCTAGCTGCATTTCCAATTAAGTTGTTAGCGCATAAGACCCAGTGCTATTGTGTCAAGTTTATGTCAAAACCTTTAACATACTCGCAAGTATATCAAACTACTTTGATGCATGAGTTCATCAACCATCACCTAAATAAAATCCTACACGCACAAGGAACTGCAGCTTCTGGGGAAGAAAATAGCTCAAAAGTCCAACTTTATTGATACCAGTAAACACTAGTGACATGTAGATATTTTTTATGAAATTTAGCCAAACCAAATAATTTAGGTAATCAAAACTAACATAACATTGACTAGTGAGAAAAAAAAAAGTTTTGCGTGGTTAAATGTAATTTTGTTTTAGTTAATTTTTCTGGGACTGATATAATTTATGTCAACATCAATTTAATCACCGACATATAAAAGCACCAAATATTGACCAAGTGGCTTTATAAGATATTAAAGTGAAATAAATAAATAATAAGAATGAGAAAATATGAGCAAATATTAAAAAATAAAGGTTAAAACAAATACAAAAATACACTATTACCTATCTTTTTAAAACAGTCTCAAACTCTGAGACACAGTGAAATGATAATGATTTTTTTTTTTAAATCAAAGTGAAAGCAGGATTGTATGATAATTTGGGTCAAATTGAGACTTTAGAGTAAACACATATTTTCCTCAACCTGCCATATATATATCGCCCAATGCCCCATCTTATCTTTCTATTTTTTGCAGCCTCATGTGTTTCCTCTCCTCCCCCTCTGTCTCCGTCTGTGTGCATCGGTATGCTTGTTAGTTGTTGGTACAGGGGAGCAGTTGCATTATCTGCATACATTATTGATGTAAGCAGCACAATGACTAAAGCATACTGTACAAACTTCAGCTGCTAACTGGGGTGATGCAAAGAATTTCTAACTCTTGAAAAAAAAGAAACACAATGTGACACATGATCAAATGAACAAAAAAACTTTCTTTCAACTGTTCCTGTATATCAGACAGACTTTGGGTAGCAGGCATGCTGTTTTTCCATGTCTCAGAAAACGATGATGAATTTGCCACATTCTGAAGGAGCTGGGCTGTTTGGATTGCCTACAAGAAAAAGCTGCCCTGTCTGCTCTAATACCTTAACAGATATCAAATTTAATCATGTAGAAGAAAAGGAAATATGAGTTGTTAAAGAAAGCAGTACTGCGAATGGGGAAATTGAGAGGCAGAAGATAATGAAGGAAGCAAGAGGGTAAAGAAGTGTTCCCAGCATCTCTTTTTCCCAGGGCTTTGTAAGGGGCTCATTAAAAATGGATGGCGTTTGGAGCAGAGCAGGGAGAAGTGGGACTCCACACTTCAACACAAGGCTGCTCAGCCAGGCAGCCTTTCCCACTGTGAAGGAGTCCCACTATATTTTTTGACTTCTTGTTTGCCCCCTTCCTTTTACTTTTTTCCATCTTTTCATTCTTGGCTTTTTGCCTTACTTTTTCTTTAATATCAGCATCGTCTTCCTTTATTTTTTTTGTATGTTCGGTTGTTCTGTGTACAATATTTTAGTCTTCCTCACAAGTGGATCTCACTAATAATCCTTGCCTTTTTAACATGGTGCGATTTCTCACACCATTTTTTTGGTTTTCCTGCCTTTTGAAAATTACTGTGTTGATTAATTTTATTTTACTTACTTTAACCTCATTTGGGAAAAAAAGAGTAGCGCTTTTAATCTGGACAAAAAAAAAAAAAAAATTACAGAGCCTTTATTTTTTTCACATTGGGTTTTTAGAACCAAAACCTTCAAAGTATTTAATTAGCTTTTTACCTGAAACACCAGAACAAGACTATAATTGAGAAGTCGAATAATATTGCATAGTTTTCAATTTCAAAAACATTGTTGTAACAGATAGCTGTATTTTTTTAAACGAGTTGTAAAAAGTTGAACAGTAGCTGTTGGCAGTAAGGATCTTCTGAAGTAGCCGGTCTTGCACTGGATCATAAAAAACCTTTGACCGAAGACAGAAGGCAGACTCTTCCTGCTGAGACTGAGGTCTTTGGGAGTGCAGGGGGCTCTCCCAAAGACCTTGTGATATCACTATGTTGTGGCATCAGCCGTCATCTATGGAGTTGTCTGTTGCAGCAATGGTTTATTTGTAGCTGAGAGAAAGCGGCTGGATAAGCTGATCAGGAAGGCCAGCTCTGTGATTGGATGCCCTCTGGGCTCAGTGCAGGAGGTGGGAAACAAAAGGATCCTAACTAAATTAACATCTCTGTTGGATAATGTTTCCCACCCCATGCATGAAGCTGCAGAAAAGGAGAGCTCCTTCAGGGACAGACAGCTGCACCCTAAATGCACCAGGGAGCGTTATCACAGATCCTTCCTCCCAGCAGCTTCAAGACTTTATAACATCACTGTTCCCAACAACCTAAATAAGTTGCTACATTCATGCTGATTTTGCACAGTTTTAGTCAGTTAAATGCCATTCTGCTGTCATTTTGCACATCTCTGATGTTGCTGCTATTGTTCATATATTCATTACAGTAAAAATTTCCATAGTTGTATATTGGTTATTTTATTCTCAAGGTCCACAGTTTTTTTATTGTTAAAACACTTTAAAGTACAATATTGTATTGTTTATCTTTTAATTCTTCACTAGTATGTTGTTCTTATACCTTTTTGTAAGGTCCAGATTTTTGTAAGGTGACAATTTTTTTCTATAATCTTTTTGCTGCTGTAAACACCAGAATTTTCCCATTGTGGGACAATAAAGGGATTTTCTATTCTATTCTATTGTAAAAATCATTATAAAATAAAGTGCAATTTATCTACAAGTTATTTCATTGTGGATATGCTTGCAAGCACTATATGCTTTCACTAAAAAAGAATGTCTAAAGTCTTCCTTCTCACTTCCTTGTTATGTTGTGCATATCCTCAGGACATGAGGATACGTCATCTGGATCCCTTTCAACTAGATAATAGAAGAAAAGAACATGGACCACGAGTGTAACCAGCACCTTCAGGGAGCCCTGAGAGACGGGGCAGAGAGCAGGTGACTGAGTTTGTCCTTCTAAGTGCTAATGTAAACCAATTTGTTTGTGTATGTGACCAGAACGTGTACAGAAAATAAAGATGATTACATTACAGGATCAGAAAAGTGTGGGATAAAAGTGAAAATGTGACAAACACAAAGATTGAGTTGCAGCTCTGCAGTTTGTCTTGTAAGGTTGAAGTGAGGCTCAGTTTAATCTGGCTCAGCAGGAGTGACGCACAAACTCCCTGCCACAGGCTGCAGACACACTCTAATCCCATTAGCCTGCGCTGTCCATGTCTCAGTGTGTTATGCAAAAGTTAGACGTAATATGTCTTACCATGTAGGGATGTTTAATTCTCAAAACAAAAACCTCTGGATTTCCCAACAGTAGAAAATTATTTTTCTATCCATTGTCTCTGGACATTTATCAAGGGGGAATAATGCCTACCTCCAGCAGTCACTGGGTGCTACTCAGAGAACATCCTTAAAGTACATTAGTATGATTCACCATTCTAAATTAGGAAACACCATAGGAAATTTTTTAATGTTTCTAAAAAGTGGATGTAGCCCTTAAAGTGTAAAGCTACATCCATGTAAACAAAAACCCCTGATTATATCAAAATGCACAAATTCCTGCCATATAAAAAGTTCATATCACTTTACATTAACATTTGTTGCATTTTTAGACTAACCAGCTCAGTGAAGCTCAGTGAGATTCTTCTCCAGTTTGTGGAATCATTGGCTCTTTAGTTTATATGTCAGTGACTGATTATTTTGTTACATATATATATATATTTTTTTTTATATTTTTCTCTTTTTATTATTGTTCTTGTTTTTGTCTGTCTATGGACCATAATTGTGTCTAAATAAAGAGATTGATTGATTGATTAACCATGAAAATCTAATAATACAAAAGACTGTTATAATAAGTGTATCAGATACTTTCCCAAAAAGCAACACTGAATTTTGCATTTGTCCATCTCTTATGGCTCTATACCAATAACAACAATCGTTAGTTTGTGTCTTTTTATTACAAATCATATCGTCCCACTGTAACACACTCAAGCTCTTCACAAAGCCATAGTTTACTGAGAAAAGAATCAATGGATGGATGGTAAATAAATGGATGGGTGGTATATATATATATATATATATATATATATATATATATATATATATATATATATATATGCATTTGAATGTAATCGTAAATCATAAATGGATGTTATGTTTAAAATGGTGTATAACTGAAGATTGAGATTAAAATCAAATACTTACTGATATCATTAGTTGGGAATAGATACTGAAAAAAATGTGAAGGCAAAGTGCCTAAAGAAATGTGCAGTTAAAGGTGCCGTAGGAGATCTTTTCTGACACATTTTTTACCACATGACTTGAAGATCTCCCCACAGCCGCTAAGCAAGCACTGAAATAGAAGGTCTGGATGTTAAATGAAAAAATAAATGGTCCCTGCTACAGTGTGAAATCAATCAGTAACCCCCACCAATCACAAACCACGGTCTGTGGTCCCCTAATGGTTCCTGACACGTCAATCATGGTCGTCTGCTTGTCCCTCCCCCCTGTGTGCGAAGTCTGACACATGAACGAATCAATCCCCCAATGCTTTTGCAGGACGCCATGGCTATAAGCTTGCCACTGTTATGCCACGTTAACACCTAAAGTAGCTAAAGCAGCAAAAACACTGTTCTGACGTGCAGCTGAAGCAGCTCTGCTTCTCTAGCTGCATGGTGGAAAAAGTGGGTCTGATGCGCGTTGATGTGTCTGATGGCAGCTATATATGCTGTGATCAATGGGTAAAAAGTAGTTTGAATCTGTTTTGAAGTGAGAAAGTCCACCTGAAAACATCGTCAGTGTGGTCAGTTCATCCAGATTACCATGCTGCCTTCAAATATTATTTCTGTCGGAGCCGCTCAGATCCCCGTACACCGGCGGTGCACTGTCCCATTCAACAGCAGCCTCTGGTCCGGTTGCCTCTTCGCAGTTTGCCATGGCGCCGGGAAGGCGTTTTTCATGTACGTAATCCAAACTGCAGGCACCAGGATAACAAAAATTAACGTTTTATGAATGTCATTTTAAGTTAATTTAGGTGTTCATAAACTGTTTCAGGGGAGTGGTGATAGCGCTCTGCATCATCACTGCTGTCTGTCTCCCTGCCAACTCTGAGATCAGCAACACGCTACTTCAGCTGCTCAGTCACGCTGCTCCTCCTGCTCTAGATGCGTTGCGGGACCTTTTGCTGCGCCATGATGCACGTCAACCATTGACTTTGCATGTAAACTAGCTGCTTTTGCTGCCTCTGCTGCTTTAGGTGTGAACGTAGCATTATGTTGTTTTTAGCTCGTGTCAGAACCTTGACTCCGCTTGTTTCGTTCTCGATCTCTGAAACATCTGAACACCTCGACAGACAGCATGCGCGTTCATGTGTTCTGAAGGCGTGGTTTCGAGGTGTGGTCTGAAGGGAGAGGCATGGTGGTGTACGTTCAAAAATATAGCTTGCTGGAACCATTTTTCCAAGATCTCCTACGGCACCTTTAAGTAAATAAATTGGATAATTTAAACAAAGTTGTTCAAAAATATTGAATTGTTTCTCCTTTGTTTTAATAGATTGGTAATTGTTTTCAATTAATAAATCCATTTGTATATTTCTGATTCAGTAGATTGGCCTAGAAAAAAGCATAATTCCCAGTGCTGATAAGTCTTCTTGAACACTGCACTCAAGAATGTCTTGCAGTTGTTGTTTTTGTTCTTTCTTAATGTAATAATTAAGACAAAACCATGACAAAACAAACTTCTTTCACTCTGTTGTATAATAGCTAAACATCATTATGAATACTAGAGCATATGTACACAGGTTATTAAATTAAAACTATGATACTTCTTTTCAATGTTTTGAATTATAAATTATCCGGTACTGCCATCAAATAAATAGATAATAGGCACTCAGGCAGCTTTTAAGTAAAAATGACCAAACCTCTAAGTAGAACTATATGTACATTATGGACCAGAATCTATTCATTAACCTTATTTTTTAGGTGAATCTTTATGAGATGTAGCCATATTGAACACCTATATAATGTCTGAGGGTTAAAAAAATATTTTATATACTTTAATGTTTATTTTCTTTGTATTTGTATCTATATTTAAACCTTTTGGTGCTGCTTTCACCAAAAATCATTGTTCTTCTTATTGGGCTTTCAATACCTTAAGAAGGGGACATGGAGAAAAAAAACAAACAATTTCTTGATTATAACCCTCAGATTAAATTATGTGGCTACAAAATAAAAGAGGAAATATGACAAAATGAGCACTTAAACCATGTAACTGTAGATGTAGACTAAATAGAAGGTGTAGACAGTGGAAAATAAACAGCAAGTGCTGCTGCAGACCCATTAGCAAACTTGTGTGTTTGTGAGAGTGTGTGCATGTTTTTCTCTGCAGTAGTTGTTATACTGCTAAGCTCCTGTCTCAGCAATAAACAAAAAAAAAAACAACCTTTCTGCCTGAGATGACTCTTTACTGCAGCAGATGTACAGTATAGGAGGCTCAGCTACCACACTGTAACATTTGTATTAGTTATGAAATAAAACACATTCCTGGCATAACAAATGCTTTAGTGAAGAAAAAAGTGAATGTAAATCACAAACCAACAGGAACACTTGGTTTATATCTCAAACTATTGAAAATCATTACATGTTTACGTGGTTATTGTCCAATCAGCGAAAGGAAATCAGGAGAAAAACTTTCTGGAAGCAGTGGCTTTGAAACCTAGGATTGAAAGGAAAAGCTGTGTAATATTGCAATTTTGCCAAAATTTGTTGTATGAGTGATAGTCTATTTATAAAGCTAATTCACAAAACTGAGACTCATTTGATGCTTCTTATAGATTGTGCTCCTACACCTATATATATATATATATATATATAATATTTTTATACCGGGTTACTGAATTGAATAAGAGGGGGAATATAACAATCATTCAAGAACAGAGCTATGAAACTATCATTTAAAGAAAACTGATGTTGCTGTGAGATCGATGTGGGTGTGGTGCGCGTGTCAATGCAGAGCTAATAATACACTCTTAATATGCCCAAGACATGCTGGAGGGACTACATCTGTGGGCTGGCCCTGAAACGCTTCGGGCTTCTCCCAGACCAGCTAAAGGAGGGGTGTGTGTGTGGAGGGAAGTCTGGGAGTCTCTGCTGAGACAGCTGCCCGATAACCAGGTCCCAGATAACAGTAAGAAGATGAGTAGGAGTACAAATGCCTGATGTGCAAATCTAATGTCTTAGCTTTGAATACTAAATGAGTTAAAATGTTGACATGAAAGCAACTTACTACATAGCAATAAATATATTTAGAAATGTAAATTATATATAATAATATTATATATAATGTTATTAATGATACCCATCACTAAGTGATTAGATGTTTTTGTAAGCTTAATGTCAGCATTTGTATTGAGAGCCAGAGAGTGTGTGAGAAATCTGATTCCTACTGTAGAGCATGACCAGTAATCTAATAGAAACAGGGCCGGGGACACATGAAAGAAACATTAGCCAGCCAGTGGAGAGATGACAGGAAAGAGCTGCAATTTATAGCCTAGTTGCCAAATCCATATCACACATTATTAGAAACACAATGAAAGAGGAATCAACTTTTAACTTTGAATTTGTTTGATATTTACCAGATTCTCTCTCAGTCAGACTTTTCATGTTGTTGTAGTAAAAATTGTAAAATTTTGTCCAACACTTGTATTTATTTGGTGTGAAATTATGAAAATTGTAGCAGGTATTAACAACAACAAAAAGCAAAAATGTTTCTCTGCACACAAGAAGATCAATTGTGTTTCTAAAAAATATATATAATGTAAAACAACACAGGTTCAAAAATAGGGACTTTTCCTTTGAACTCCATTGCTCCAGAATGGAACGCTTATACAAAATCAATGCATATTTTCCATAAAGTAATTATTTTACATTTACTCTCAGACTCTACAAAAGCCCTTCTAAACTGTCAGGTGTTAAGTGTAAAGTTTCCTCCAAACTAATATTACACCTGTTTAGAAAATAAGCTGACATTTCCTCTCTGATGGTGAATGCTGTGGTTGCAGAACACGAACTGCAATGCTGTTTAGACTTATTTGATTTGCTGGGCTTGGACTTCATCAGTATTATCAATCAAAGCCAGTCTCGAAGGAAGCAAGCTTAACATTAGAAAGGGCTGGCTGTGAAAAAATAACTTTGTCCCAATATTTAGTTGCTAAAGGTGCAGATGTCGGATTTTGGTAGAAAATAACCTTAGAGGAAAACTATAATTAACAAAATTGCGTCTGTGAGAGTGGCAGCTTTCCCCTTAGTACTAATCCACAGGGAATATTGTGATCTTAACATAATCATCCCTTTGCATTGTGTTTATGCAACATGAGAAATAGCTACAGGGAGATCAGAAAAATTGAATATTAAGAAAGAGATGGGTTTAAAAAGGTTTTAAGGCACTGATAGGAGGAAAGGAAAGGCAGAGAGGATCAGGACTGTGTTATGCACTAGCAGATGGATGGATAATGTGCTTATAACCAAAGATCCCCCAAGAGACATTGCTGTCTGGCTGTGTCACTCAACATGTTTTTCTCAACTTTTCTCACACTTGTAGTCTGTCATCCCCTCCCTTAGGCTGCTGTGTTTTCCCACTTGTTTTCTATTCATTCTGCTTTACTTTTCTTTTCTCCTGTAAGCAGTTTTCTCACTCTAATGGATGGTGCTAATGTCCGTAATTGGTAGCGTCTGTTTGGAGGGAGATCCCTTCCTGCAGCTGCTCACTGCAGGACACATCAGACTTGCTGAGATCATTCCCTCATTCATTTAATCGATCCTGTTACTGTTTCTCAGTGCAGTATTATGGCTGCTCCCTCTCATTCATTCCATCATTGATATGTTTATTCTTCTATCTAATGATTTCTTTGTCAGTTATCTTTCCATTAAACCTGTTAATGTTTGTCTACCCAAGGACTAAAATATTATTTAATTCAGAGTGATAAACCCTAAACTAACCACCCAGTCACAATTACAAGAGGAAAAACTACAATGATCCCTATAGCTTTGATAGCTGAATTCCAGTGCAATAGCACTGAAATAGCATTCTTTTTTTATTTTTTTTATCATGTATTCTGTGCATTGGTGTTATGTTGTTATGTCTGATCTAAGTAAGATTAATTAATATTAACCGATGTGAGATTTTCAGAATATACACTAACAATTTTAAGAATTGTATAAATAGTAAGAATTTACACCACAACAGACCTTATTTGAGATGTCATAACCACTTTATCCTAAGTTTCACTCTAATCAAAAAGTTGCACAGAGCCACTCTGTGCCCACAGTTGGTCAGTCTTCCCAAGGGATGGTCTGTACCATCTGAAGCTTCAATACCCGTGTTTTGTTTTGCAAGCTGACACGTCATTATCTAAAAAGTTGCCTAGGTCCTCAGTGGTCCATTAACCAAACCCTGTAGAGACTGAGCCGGTCCATTATGTCTGTCCCACCAACCACTATGGCCTTTCAACATCTTCATCTGCGACAACCACTTGCTCACAGCTGCACAACAGGGACTCGTTTAAATGAGAGTGCCTCATTATTTAAGATGATGAACTATTTCTATTGATTGTCTGGATCAGGTGGTTCATAAATCAGACTAAGAGACCATCAGGCTACATTACGCCACAATTGATGTCATTGTTGGCTCCAGCCCATGTGAAATATAAAAAAGGTCCCAATTAGTCTTTGATCCTCACTAAACAATGCTATCTCAAAAGAGAAGAAAAATTCTATTTAATTCAGTTTTTCATGACATATTTATTGAATTGAGTCAAATTGTTCTCTCAAATTCCAGTTTTTCAAAAGTAGAGCGAGGTGCATATTTTATGATTCGTTTTTAATCCACAGGTTCTGTTAGAACCTTAGAAATTGATGCATAGCTAAAAATTAGACAAAAAACTGAGTTTTAGCTTGAATACATATGTAACGTTATTGTGCTAAATGTCATGTGTTTCATATTGAAAGTTTATTTTAAAACTTGTAAAGAAAGGACAGTTTGTGATTGGATTGGGGGGAGTGTTACATATTCAAAGCTGTTTATACTGTACAGAATTCAAGCTGTTTATACTGTCTTTTTAGCACATCTTACTGTTGAATAGAATATCTATTTTTAGCAGTGTAAATCTTGCACACAATGTTACGCAAGGACCTATATTTCCTTGCTGTTGTACCCTTTGTTTGAGATATGAGGGAATATATTTGTATGCAATTATCTTGCAACCAGAACTTAAATAACTCAGATGTCTCAGAACATTTTCGAGATGTGATTTTTTTGTTTTTGCTTTCATGCATTTTTATGCTTTTCTTTATTTAATTTTATTTATTTATTTGTCTCTTGCATCAGAGGTGTTATATTTTCTCTTCAGTAAAGGGAGCCCTCTTCTCTTCAGTACTCATTTGCAGACACAAAGCTTGTTTACTCTCATCACAGAACATTTCTGTTTAACAGAATGCATTTCCTCATTTAGGACCAACGTTGCTGTCATTGGAAAAGAGAACATCTGTATTTTGTTTACCTGATTCATCTTGTCTTCTGTGTCAGTCTTAAATTGTGTCTCTTTTCTTGGGAAAAAACAAACACTCTTTATACTTCTTGTCTAATATTTTAGACCTTTTATTTGCTCTAAATCTCATTTATTTGTTGCACTAAAACGTTTTTTTTTATATTTCTATATTGAACATAATAACGATAACAAACCTTTTAACCAAGTGCAGGTAAATGGAATCCCAGGACAGGAGTCGCTCCCCGTCCCGTAGGACTAGCCGAGTGGAACAGGTTGTGGGACGATGGCTGAGACGATCCAGGGACTTGGGCAGCAGGTCTCTCTCTCTGAGCAGGTGAGCCTCTGTCTTGTCCTCATTCAGATTTAATTCTGGGTTATCAGATTTTGATATGGGAAGTGGCCTGTTTAACAGAAAGAAGGATCACTTAGTCAGTGGTGTCCTTGAAAAACATCAGAACTACTTTAATAAATATTTTAAAAAACAGGGTATTTTAAATAAAACCTGGTGATACTTAAGGAAACCTATCCAGATCAAATTTATTAGGCTTTTTTAATTGTGTTTAGCTTTTGATTGAAAGTTTAATTAAGTCTTTGTTTTTCCCATATGCATCAGGTCAAAAGGAATATTGAAAACGGTGATAAGACCCGTTGATGATGCTTCATTTACTGTGGGCAGATTCATTAAGGTTTTTACAGATACTAAATGTGTAGAAACCTCAGTGTGTTACTGCTCCAAATGTTTAAACTATATGTTGAAGCAAAACTGCTTGTTAAATGAACAGGCAAATAGTACAGCTACCTCCTGCTCACATTTTAAATAGGAGTTATTCTTGCTTTCAAGTAAAAGCTTATCAGTGTTAATGTTCATATAAAGTAACAGTACATTATGTATTTGCATTCTCGTAGAATAGAGCTGTATGCATTATGCATAGTGGACCGAAGAACCGCCATCTGCTGATAGCTGAGAGTAATTCTGACACAATAAAGAGAGAAAACAGATGTGCTGCTGTCTTCAGGTCAGGGATGTCATAAAAGAGAATTTTCACACTCTTCTTCAGTCAGGTTTGGATTATTGTTGCAAATGATGTCATTAAAATAATTTCAAGTGAACACAGTTAAACTAAATCTACTATAAAAGTTAAAGATAATGCTATAATTTGTTATGAAATGAGAAAAGGAAAATTGAACCATAAGAGCTGCCTTCTTGGACCCGGAACTTAAAGGTACATTGGAGGATGTTGTTTTTCCGGGTGGATCATCAAAATACGTAGTCCCCCTAATTCTCAATCATTCTGGAGATATGTTTACATAAGGCCACCCCAAGGTGCTCGTAACATTTTCACTTACCGGTGGTGAGTCTCACATAGTGGAACTTACTTTTTTTTAAGTAAGTTTGTATGAGCGATGCAAAGAGCAACTTTTAAACAGAACGTACACAAGGAGAAATGGGCACGCGCATGCTCTTGCATGCATTTAATAGGCGTTCCCTCTCAGAAGTGGGTAAACGGTTGTGCATGTGCATTTGTTTTTGTTTTGTTTTTTCAAAGTTGAGAGGGCAGGTCTTTTTAATAATTTGCTAAAATCCTCCACTATATCTATAACTTTCTTCTGGTCTAATAAGTTAAAAATCTCCATAGATAATCCCTGTGATTATGAATTATGAATCTGAATGATTAGGAATCTGAAATTAGAAGTAGGCATCTGTATTGGTATTATCGTGTAACAGTATTCATGGCACATGTAACCTGCACAGCTTAAAGCCTCCTTTATGCTCTTTAATTTCAGCAACACAAACATGCAGAAATCTCTAAATTAATTTGAATATATATCTTAAAACCTTCTACTTGTCTTATTAGTTATGAAAACACCATAGCATTATTTTTGTAAAATGTCATTCTGATGCTTTGCAGGGATCGTGTTGCTGTGGATGGGAAAACAGGGGAGTCCAGTGGCTCCGATCAGAGAAATTACCCGTTCCGATTCAATATTCAGATTCAAAAGGACCTGGACCTCAATTCCCATGGCCTCACACTTTCCACCCAGATCCCCATTCTGGTGGAGGAGGTCATGCCAGGTAGGACAAATTACTGAAGTGAAACAGGATACTGACATATAATGATGATATATAATGATGATATATAATGATGAATGAATGATGATGATAAAAGTCTATATCAAAGATGTTAGTTTTAAAGCTTATCCTCATGTTCATATATATATATATATATATATATATATATATATATATATATATATATATATATATATATATATTAGGGATGGGACGATTTATGAAAACCGTCCGAACCGATTGGTTCGACTGTCTCGGTTCGGTTCGCATGTGTTTCGTTCGGTTCATGCGCTACTCCTTTTTCTCATAGGGGAGGCGATTACACTCCAGAGCAGAAGGTGGCGGTACTGCGACCAAAGCCAACCACCAGTAGTAAACAAGAAGAAGAAGAAGCGAAGCAGCTTAGCCGGGTGTAGCATGGAAAAAAATCAGTTGTTGTGGAGAATTGTGTCGGAATGGCGAGTGGGAAAGAAAAGGAGTTGGAAGACGCGCCAGCAGCACTTTATAGGTCTGCTGTATGGGACCACTTTGCATTTAGAGTGACCTACGATGACGGCGGAAAGAAAGTTGTGGATAAAAGTGCAACGGTGTGCAAGCATTGTGCAACTCGTTCTGTTTACGCTAACAGCAACATGACCAACATGTCATGCTAACCCCGAAATCCCTCATACTCCGTCAGCAACCCCCGCTCCGCCCCGCTGCGCTCCAGACCGGCTGCTCAAAGCAAAGCCTACAGCCTCCGCTGTGGCTGCCGTCCACTCCCCTCTGAGTCCCTTGGAGATGGTAGAGAGCATGCGCGAAATTATTAAATTCAAAGCAGCAAAACATACGGAAATGATCCAAGGTTTCCGTGGATCATTTAAAATAATTACAATCCATTATTTTTTGGGGGATTTTTTCATTAATTTCATAAATTTTTATGGGATTTCGGTGTAAAAATCAACATATACCGAATCGAACCGAACCGAAAACCGTGACCACGAAACCGTGAATCGAACCGAACCGTGGATTTTGTGAACCGTTCCAGCCCTAATATATATATATATATATATATATATATATATATATATATATATATGGCATTTCCTGCCCATTTTCTTCACCATCCCCAGTACCTCACTGCTTCTAATTTGCATAAAAAATTTATTCTTTGCATATTAAAGCAGGAACTTGAGCTGTATTTGTTTTTGGTACAAAACGGCAAAGTTAAATCCTACAGCTGGGGCTTCTACTGTACACTGATGCTGCATAGATGCGCACAAAATTACATTACTAAAAGGAAGTGCTGCTTGGCACTAATATGTGTCGTGTTGGTGTGAAGTTTTGTGACCCACACGCAGATTTACACCGAGAACCAGGGAATTTAAGCATGTTATTTACAAAAGCAACAAGAATTTGGAAGCTGAGAACTGCAGGAAGTCAGGTGAACTTTCTGGTTTTTCTGAGGAGAGAAAGCAGACCAATCAGGAAGGAGTTGGTTGATGATAATTGATGACTTAAGCGATGTAGGGAGGTAGCATGGATCTGTAGGGGTTTGATTCAGACTTTACCCCAGAGCATAGGCGGATCGACTGGGGTGGCATAGGGTGGCAAATGCCACCCTAAATGACACCCTTGCCACCCCTGCTGCCACCCCAGTTAGCTGTAGGGGTGGCGAGGCTTATAAATTATGGATAATTTGAGAATTGCGACCGCTAATTTCCAATGTCGGACTGCAGTGAATGCAGCACGAGATGACGCGAGAGCGACTGAGACTGATTAGTTTTGAAAACCGAGTGGGGCAAAGCGAGGGAACCAGGGGTCATGGGGAGAGGAGACACGGGAGGAAAGGTAAAAACTGTTTAACTATCTATCGAGAAATTAAATCATAATGAAAGAACAATGTTGCTAGCATAGCTGCAATGCTGATTTACAGATGATAAAAGGTTGCTGAACGTTATTTCTCTATCTATGATGTTAGTTAGGCCTGACGTTTCAGCCTCATAAAGACATATTTGCGGTCAACTATGACAGAAAAGAGACAATCAAGTTTTGTTGAACTCAAATCAAAACGTAAAAAAGGCATTGGATCTAAATAAATTTGTGAAGCGTTTTACTGAGCAACATGGAAATCGCCGCATTCAGCGGTTAAAGTCATGTCAACTTTATGTTATGCTCTCTGGTGAGCCTTTACAGAGATCTTACATTTTGTTTTGGCACCTGAGAAAATCTGATATTTCCTTTAATAAAACCAAAGGTGTTAAAATTAAAGTTTAAAATGTGATACTGGTGTAAATCCTGCTTAATATGAATCAGTGTTTTCAGACTGGAAGCAAAATGTATTTTTATGTTTCTTTTTTCAGATTTGTGGAGATTTTGATGTAACATACAGTACCTGCCTTTTTGTTGATTTGTTGATACAGCAGCTCTATCTACAGCATATTTACATGCATGAAATGTCCCTTTCATGTTACCGTAACTGCTGTATGACAAGTTACTGAGGAACAAATGGGGTAAACGTGTGTTCAGAGTAAACAATACATAGATGTCCACTACCTTGTCTGGGTGCCTTGACCCATTTATTTCTACTGTGTAGTTCTGCTCACTGTAGTACAGCTCAGTCCATAGATCTATGATGGGTAACTTTTTCCTTTTTATAGTTTCTTCTTGTGCAAATGCTGCAAAGCTGCCTCTCTGATAGTCAATCTCACATCTGCAACTGAGCACATGTGTCTTACCTTAATACCTTTCCTGTGATAAGGCCCCTCTAGAAGTAGTGTTATCATTCTTCTATCTCATATTAGGTGAGATTTCATTGTACGATGTATTTCTAATATGAACTGCTTCACATGAAACACATACTGTACATACTATTCTCACCAAACTGTGATAACTGTGATTAAATTCAGTGTAAACAAATGCCATATGCTGCCACCCCTCAAAAATTCCTGCCCCCCTCTCGCCACCCCATAAATATTTTTCTAGATCCGCCCCTGCCCCAGAGGTTCAGGAGAATGTGGATGAATCCAAGAGTGGTGGTACTGATGAAGACTGTTTACTGTTGCACACACACACTGAGGTTTACCGGTTGTCGGAAAAAATAACTGAGTCCCCATTGAAGAGATTCACAAGAAGATTTTTTTTTTTCCACAATAGGGATTTTCCTGGTTTAGGTCTTTGGCTGGAATACCATCAGGGGGAAATCTGGTGAAGAGTGATTATCTCCTGTCTACACACTAGTCATCTTAATTGTGAAATGTTCTTAGGTGTGCAGCAACACGGATCGGCCCAGCCACCAGCAAAAATCCTTTCTGTGACAGGAATCTCACTCACACCAAAAAAACAGCAAAACCCTAGAGACCCTAACAGTCTCTGTTTGTCTTTCTGGATGTGTTTATATGTGTTTTATAGCGTATTAGCTCTAAGGTGGATAAGACCAATGGTAAGACAGTTCAGGCACTTCCTCCTATCTGAATAATTCACTACTAAAATGTGTCAGAGGGTGTGTGTGTATGCAGAGATGTAAGGGAATATTGTAAGGAAGATTTAGGTTAACTTTAACCAAATTTTTTCTTCTTAACAAATTCATTTCAATTGCAGCCATAGTATTCAAACTATTTTAAATAGAATTTGTAAGAAAAAGTATACATACCTTGTAAATTGCCTTTTTTTTGTTTTTTTTTTTGTTGTTAGTTTTGTTTTTTTCTTACGGATTAAGGTCTAAATTATCCTGTGCTTTTGTTTCCAATCCCTCTGACTTTGATACTAAAAGTTACAACTAGGGTAACAGATCTAATCTGACAATTTAATGTGGGCTGCACTTCTGTTTTTTTTAGAATTTAAACTCTATTTTTATATGCATATCTGAAATATCTGTGGGGTCAGTGAGAATTAAAGATGGTTGCACTGATCTATGAAAAATGTAAGAGGAAATGAGGAGGTAGATTATTTCTGACAGCACTTATATAGCATTTATATATATATATATATATATATATATATATATATATATATATATATATATATATATATATATATATATATATACACTATATTGCCAAAAGTATTTGCTCACCCATCCAAATTATTGGAATCAGGTGTTCCAATCACTTCCATGGCCACAGGTGTATAAATTCAAGCACCTAGGCATGCAGACTGTTTTTACAAACATTTGTGAAAGAATGGGTCGCTCTCAGGAGCTCAGTGAATTCCAGCGTGGAACTGTGATAGGATGCCACCTGTGCAACAAATCCAGTCGTGAAATTTCCTCGCTCCTAAATATTCCACAGTCAACTGTCAGCTGTATTATAAGAAAATGGAAGTGTTTGGGAACGACAGCAACTCAGCCACGAAGTGGTAGGCCACGTAAACTGACGGAGCGGGGTCAGCGGATGCTGACGCGCATAGTGCGAAGAGGTCGCCAACTTTCTGCAGAGTCAATCACTACAGACCTCCAAACTTCATGTGGCCTTCAGATTAGCTCAAGAACAGTGCGCAGAGAGCTTCATGGAATGGGTTTCCATGGTCGAGCAGCTGCATCCAAGCCATACATCACCAAGTGCAATGCAAAGCGTCGGATGCGGTGGTGTAAAGCACGCCGCCACTGGACTCTAGAGCAGTGGAGACGCGTTCTCTGGAGTGACGAATCGCGCTTCTCCATCTGGCAATCTGATGGACGGGTCTGGGTTTGGCGGTTGCCAGGAGAACGGTACTTGTCTGACTGCATTGTGCCAAGTGTAAAGTTTGGTGGAGGGGGGATTATGGTGTGGGGTTGTTTTTCAGGAGCTGGGCTTGGCCCCTTAGTTCCAGTGAAAGGAACTCTGAATGCTTCAGCATACCAAGACATTTTGGACAATTCCATGCTCCCAACTTTGTGGGAACAGTTTGGAGCTGGCCCCTTCCTCTTCCAACATGACTGTGCACCAGTGCACAAAGCAAGGTCCATAAAGACATGGATGACAGAGTCTGGTGTGGATGAACTTGACTGGCCTGCACAGAGTCCTGACCTCAACCCGATAGAACAC